AGGTGCCGAGTATCAGAGACCACAGTCAACTGACTTCAGAGCTTAATTCAAACATGATAAAATCAACCACAAAAACTGGAGAGGGTGACTTCATACAACAGCAGACTCCCTCAAGCTCCACTAAACAGAAAGTTTATGAGTCGGGATCAGAAGTAAATTCCTAGTTCCCAAACTAATAAAACACAGCTAAAGTAACGCTTCTCAAATGGTTCACAAGGGATCCTGACATGCAAAAATAAAGCCTAAGAAAGAGTACCTATCATTTGATCCCAGAGAGAGCTGCCCAGAGCTGGCAAGGCAGCCAGGCTTCCAAGAAGAAAAGAAATATATGAGCATTTTACTACAGAAGTGTGTTACTTGGAACCTTTCAAATAACCAACATAACCAGTCTTGCTTAGTGTCCTGCTGGGAAATAGGATTTCCAGTAAAAAAAGAAAAAAAAAAAAGTTACAGAAGTGGCAGTAATACAACTCATTATCATAGGAAAGCAACCTGTTCAAGAACATTCCACAGTCAGTTCTGAAAATACATTTTATTATGAAAAACTGTTTAAAACAAGCTTAAACTTGGGGGAAAAAAAAGAGAACAGACATTAGTTCACACATGTAATAAATCCTTTTGAAATAAAAGCACACACAAGATTATAGAATGATCAGAGGAAAAAATGCTCCATCATCTTAGCATGTTTTAGCCCGGCAATCTCTGAGCCCCGTGTTAGAATGTAAGACCTGGACTCTTCAGGTACCTGCAACACTCACCTTGGAGGCTTTTATTCATGTCTTAAGTTGTTAAATTTTACACAGGGGATACTGACCTAGACAGCATGAATGCTCCCTTGTCTACACAGTGCAGACTTCCTGTTTTGTGACATTCCAGTTGTGGTTTTGTGTTCTAGGATAACACTGTCTGTCAAAGTCCAAGCAGTCTTATTTCAGACTCCATCTAAATCATCCACAGCTGTGCAGAAAATGCAATCGTACTGTGCAAAAAGCAACTTCAAGTATGTTAGTTGAATGAATCTAGAAATAATTCCAAACTCCTAGTAGTATTGTTCTACTAAGTGTATCCAAGCTAAATACAAACTCCTTAAGATAAAACATTAATAGCATCCCTTTAATGCTGAATGCAGCTAATTCTATCACAAAACGCCCCATGTGGTCAAACTTGGAAGAGGCAGGATACAAGATGTGGCACGGATGAACATGTGTACCTTGTAGAATAGCACATATTCCAATGCCAAGTCTTAGCATGTGTCACACAGAGTAAATACACATTTAACTAAAGGGGGAAAAAAAAAAAAGGCAAAAGGCTTTCCCTGTATTTTTATGCTAAGAGCAGTCCTAAACAGGACAGCTAATCTAATAACAGCATTTCCATTTAAAATTCATCAGAGCTTACACAAAAAACAGCTCTTCTGTCATCACTAATTCCACTGAGAAGAAAAGCCTGTGCTGAAGTGGAATGACATTATTAGAAACTATGAGAATAACCTTCCAGCACAGGAAATTCTCAGCCACTCACCATACAAGTTAGCAGAGTAGCCAGAAAGTAAATACCCAATTCATATTTAATGCCCGTCATGTCCAGCAGCAGCAAAGAGGCTCATATGCATCAAGGTCTTAAGCAGAGGTACCAGGTTAACTTATTTTCCACCAGAAAACTAAACTAATGCTAACCAAGTAGCCCATCTGCTCTTATCCTAGCTGTCTGTAGTAGCCTCCTTCCAGATTGTAAGGCCAGCTAAAGATGCTAGCTTTGGTGCACCTTAGAGAGTTAACAACCTGATTAATGTCTGATGTGCTGGAATGATTTATTCAGATTTTTACAGGGCAAATTCACCATTTATTTCAGTGAGCTTAATCCAGTCATAAAAGTTATTCCTGCTCTTAACAGAATACTTCCTGAGACAGACACTGGATAAGCCAATTTGCTTTGGAGGGCAAGAGTTTTAATATTTCCTTTTGCTCAGGAAAAGCCCTCTGATCTAATTCTCCACTGTCTCTACTGAAGCTTCTGTGTTAGAAGAGGTTTCTGGCCAATGAAACTGGCAATCTGAGGAGCCAGACTTACTCATTCCTTGAATGAGTGTTGTTCTTTGTGTTTTACAGCACAGCTACACCTCCTTCGCAGCGGCTGGTGATCATGTTGGCAATTTCAGTCCAACTGTCCATATGAGGGTTATAAACTTCAACAGAGTCAGAGGTTACTGGAGCAGCAAAATCATGACTGGGAGCTCGGCCTCCCGAGGCATAAAGAAATCCATTTACAGCCACAACACAGACACCAGCTCTTGGTATCTTCATCGATGCAACTTCAACCCACTTTTCCTAATGAGAAGGTGAGAGTCAACAAGTAGTTTTAGGGCAAGCCCCGATTCTGGTAAAAGTAACTTTTAAAGCTTGAAGACTGAAATGTATACAAAGAACACTATGTGTGTGCTTCACGGGTTCAAATATGGTATGTGCACAGTATCAAGAGGATTATCAAGACTGGAATGAAAACACTTTCACGAGTGCTCCAAATCACGCTAGTCACTACAGGGCAGATCACATATTGTCTGTACACAACAACCCTCCCTTTCTTCAGTCACTGCAAGCAGTGGTCTGTCTCCAAGATAGAGAATGGTACACAGTTTGGGGGTGGGAGGGGAAAGGAAAACTAGATTCAATTCCAAAAGCAAACCAGAATGGGACACTGGATTATGTTGTGCCTTTAACAGTAGCTATTGTTCCATAGAGCATCACAGAAACATGAGCAGAGTCAGGAATCATTTCTTATCTTATTCAAAAGTTTAAGTGTTCAAAGTGATTTTTCTAGTCATGCTGAAACACTGCTACATTTTGATGCAGAAGAAAGATCCTCAACTTTTGCAACAAAGGGCAACTCTTAGTTATTCAGGGAGTTTTCTCTCTCTAGTCAGATTATTGACAATTCTATTGCACAGGGGGAATCTATCCCACCGTCTTAACCCTAACAAGTATCTACCAAACTACAGTATATTTATGCATCATCAGTATTGGTCACCTTTCAGATTCCCAAAAGCATGCATGCAATCTTTGTAAACACCCCACTAAGTCACATAGCAAGATTCTACAGACTGGTTAGGACAGACAAACCCTGAGGTCACTGAAGCTTTGTTTTTCACTCAGATTACCAGCCAGTAGTGAAAAGGAATGGAATTTCCAACTTTTTTCTTTTTAAAGAAAGGAAGTAAGCTACCTCTATAGCCTCTTCCATAAAGCTGATGCAATCTACTTTTATGAAAAGAAGGGACTCTACCATACCTCTTCAAAAGAGTATCTTTCCACAGTAGCCAGTGCATCCTGAGATTCATTCCAGCCTCCCACAGCATAGATACAATCGTTGAGAGCAGCTACACCAAGATAGGCTCTTCGGGTGCTCATTGGAGCGAGCTCAGACCAACGTTTAGATATTGGGTCGTAGACTTCAACAGAACGTAGCTCTACTCCTTCGTTGCTGATACCACCAACAACATAAATCAAACCTGTAGAAAGAGTTTCACCTCTGTTAGGTTTCATAATGCAAAGGTCTGAAAGACTGAAAATGTCTGTCATGAGTTTCAGCCTGATGTTAAGATGCCTTAAGAATGCCAGATAAAAATCCTCCATTTGTCTAGTAGTAGCACAAAGCTTTCAAATGAGTAACTTGAGGCTCAAGCACTAGAAGCTCTGATGAAAGCAATAATTAACCAAGTGCAAGGGAGAGAATCCAGAAAGCTGCAACTGCTGACCAGGCCTGGATCAAATACTTAATAAGCACATTTATAGATCAAGTCTTCAGACATGTCTGTCTTAAAATAACCTGTGGCAACTCTTCAGATTGTCACAAAGAAACACACACAAACTCAAATGTGGCAGGTAAATAAAGCAATTATCAGGAAGGAAATCAACTGTTAAAAGACTAGCTGGATAACCACACCATGGTTATCCATGGGCAGCCATGTAAAAACTGGCTTTAATGAGATAAAAGGCAGAAGACAGAGAACTTCATAGTCAGAATTAAAAATATGGTACTAGAATAACAAATAAGTGAGGCACAGGTGTGTGCAACTGACAGCACAGGACAAGACAAGGAAAAAATTCACAACTGAAACATAAAGCTTCAAAATCCAACAGCTCTTGGAACTGTCTATGGATACAAACTTAAAAATACTCACCTTGCATTTCACAACACCCAAAGCAGTAACGGGGCACAGCCATGCTTCCCACCACATCCCAACTATTTTCTTCAGGATCAAATCTTTCAATTGTGTTGCCAATCTCTGCTCCAACCCAACCTCCTGCAAATAACAGCAAACACAGGGAAGAATTTAATGGCATGCAGCTGTGTGTTAGCTGCAGTTTTAGACATATGGTGCACTGTTCCAGGACAGACTAATTCTGGAACCAGCATGCAATCTACAATAGAAATAAGTTACAACTGAACAATAAGTAATCCACAAAGATTTGGTACACTAATGCTCATGTAAAAAGCTGTTTTTCAAAACTTAAGTTTGCAAATTTGCAACACCAAGATGTAACATTTAAGAACAAATCAATTTACAAATTCCGTGAATTAACACCTTTAAAATTAACCTCACCTAGAAAAAAAACCCCAAAACATACCCAAAGCATAGATAGCACCATAGCACGTGCACAGTCCCAGTCCACAGCGGGGATGGTTCATGGAAGCCACAGTGGTCCACTGTTTAGTGACAGGATCATAACATTCAGTACAGTCAAAAATCATCGAGTCCTTCTCACCTGCATAGTAAGAGCAAGAACTGAGACACGGGCAACACAATGTTCTGCACTGCAGATATAGAAGCATTCCTCAACTCCTTCCAGGACAGACAACATTTTAAGATAAGATCTTTCTTTTAACTAGCCAAATGGTCAGTGTAGCAAAAGCTCTGTTTATACCCAGAACTGAATCATCACTAGGAACAGCTTTCATCAACAGTTCCATGAAACATTACTGAAAACATCAGAGGGGTGAACAACCACAGTGCTACGCACTTTTTACTCTGCAATACAACTGACAAGGTTTTCATGACCAAAGAATGTGTTCTGTGGTGACAAAAACAGTATACATATGCATTCTTTAATGATGGGCAGGCAGAGCTACTCGTCACGTCCTTGTGCAAACACACATAACAAGCCTTTCCAGGTAGGCAGATCACAAGTGACCTGTCCTGTACTACTGCCTTTTATGCTGTGGGCTTCTGCTAGACTACAAGTGAGAAAATAAATGCTATCAGTGGTGGTACACAGGTCTGCAGAACACCCAACACCTCTTAGAACATCTACGTATGTCCATATGCTTATATGTGAGTTGCTATACTATGAGGGGAGAGAAGCTTAGTAAAAACCAGCTAACACAGGAGCTGAAACAGTGATGGTAGAGAACCGAGGAACCTTAATTCAATTGTTATTATATCTAAAAGTTGTCCTATCTACTGTTGGGTTCCTCAGAACCACCTGCAGGAAAAAGTTTACAAAATACCCATCCACCAGTACCCATATAACAATGAAAGCCTGTTTCAGCTGTTACCTCCAATGGCATAGATCATTCCTCCCACCACAGCCACACCCAGCCCACTCCGGGCCTGGTGAAGAGAGGACACAGTGGTCCAGTAGTGGCTGAAGGTGTCAAATCGCTCCACACAGCTGAGGGCTCTACTGTCACTCCAGCGTCCGCCCTGCAGCCGGGTGTACCCACCTAGAAAGTAGAGAAATCATGGCTGAGTAAGAGCTTCCTGCTCACGGCCATGCTCCTGTATCTGAACCAAAAACTACAGTAACAGCCATTAGCCACTTTTAGTAGGAATTGGACTTTCCAACGTAGCATTGTTTCTCCAGCACATGAGGAAGAATGGTCACCCTGAGGGTCATGTGCTGATCACTTCACCACAACACTACAAATACCACCATTCAAGTTCCTAGTAAAACACAGAGACCAGCCAACAGCCTTTCCTATCTTAAGTCAGTGTTACTTCCCAGAGTGAAACAAGAAGCATTCCCTTCCAATACGAAGCTGAAGCTTTGCTGAAAATTTGCAATTTCAAGTATCCCATCACATGAACCGGAATACTCTGGACACAGAAAACTTCAGCCTTCGGAAGAACAAGGAGTGCAGGGATCTGCATACACCATTCCAGCAGTGAACCAGGGGCAAATCCCCTGCTGATGTGCAGGTTTCCACCCAAAGCAAATAATTTCTAAAGGGCAAATCTAGGCTTTCAATGCCATGTCATAATGACATGAAATGCGAATGCTGCCCCTTGTGCAGTTCTAAGCAGAAAGCAGCTAACATGGTACCTCAGCCAGATAAAATATTTTACTATTTTTATATCTTTTGAATAAAAAAATAATTCAGTATCTCATTAAGTACTGTAATATGAGATACTACTTCATCATTTGTTTTACAAGGTTCAAACAGCCACATTCTAACCTACTGCATAAAGGTACTTCCTGGCTTTCCTCCGGGGACGACCTTTAGAAGCTTGCAGAAAACTGCTGACCTTGTTCTCTTTGGGAGATTTACAGACTTCACAATATTCTTTCAACAGAGTTTGCAGGGCCACCCGAAGGCTGAAATCTGGAATACCTTGAGGAAAAAAAAGCAGAAGAAAAAAGGCATAGTGAAAAATTACAGACAATAAGTAACTCAGTTATAAAAAAATTACTAGTTTCTCCTAAAACAGCAGGCAAATCAAGATGGCCTACTTTTATAAGACCTTTTCAAAAGCATGCTTTTATAGTAAGCTGTGCTTATTTGTTAAAAAAATAGAACTTGTTTGGATAGAGCAAATCTTTTTGAACATCATGCTATTAATTTAAAAGAGTCCATCAAAATACAGTAACTTTGAATGACACATTGTTTGCTCAAATCCAATCTTCTGATATTGTTTCCCCTCTTCTTTCACTTACTTTCTATGTATTTTAGTAGCCTTTGTGCTGGCAGCAGAGGGAATCGAACAGGCTCCAGCACTTCTACAACGTGTTTCTTTCGTTTCCCCACATCCTTCAAAATCCACTGCATCGCTGCTGTGAAAACCTGGTACTCGTCCTCGATGCTGAGGTCCTCACTTCGCAGGATCTTAACCAGCTGCTCCTTGGTCAGGGCCAGGAACTCCTCCCCGCTCTGCACCTCCAGGAAGTGTGCGTGGATGTAGCTCTCGGTGAACTCCATCAAGTCGTGACAGGCGATCTGCTCGGAGAACTGGAAGAGGCCGATGCAGTTCAGGGGGTCGATCTGCCCCTTCAGGAACTCGCAGCAGAGTTCCACCACCTCGGTGAGCTGCAGCATGTCGGCGGCGACGATCAGCTCCTGAACGTTGTGCTCCCCGATGCTCACCACCCCTGCGGGCAGGGACACGACAG